CTTGAAAGAACCGGGTACGTTAAGTATAACAGAGCGGCCCTGTCTCCAAATTTGATTTCAGTTTTTTACAAACATGCCTACGATGTGTCCTTTCAAAATCATTTTATTTTTTTTTAATTATCACAAACCGTTTTTCCATCAGAGGTCTCGAAAAATGGGGAGTTTTATTTAGAAATTACAAATTTTGACGTGATAACGTCATCACGGCGTTACTGATTTTAACGTTACGTTAAAAGAAATCTGTAAATTCTCTGAACCGGAAACTATTTACTTTAACCTGCCTTATGTTCCAGAAAACAATTTTGAACTTTTATTTCAATTCATCGTAATGTATTTTTGATAGCTGGAAGGAGTAAAATAATTTAAAGGAAATATAATTTTATTACAAACGATTTCATCAGACAAGTAATGAAGCTTGATTCATCCATACAGACGAGACAAGGTAGTACTTCTTTTAAAATTGTGTTCGTATCAAATTTATCATTTTTTTTTTAATGTAAAAATGTCCTAATGATTTCTTCAATCAATTTCCGCATTGCCTATAAAGTTACATTAGAATTTTTAAAGATACATGAATCAGTATTAAAAAGAAAATTGAAACGTCCCATATAAAGTTGTCAAAATTGGATTTTTGGCAATGAAAAAGTCATCAACACCACTTCCCTTTTCTATTCCAAAAAATGGCAGCACTATTAATTTCGTTTTTTTTTCTATTTTTTTTTTCTTTTTTTCTTTCTTTCTTTCTTTTTTTTTTTCTTTTTTTTTTGATAAACATATAAATTACTCACTATTACGGGGTTACGAGGTGTCTTAAACTGCGTTAATTTTTTTTTTCTCTGATGTTAGGATTTCTTTAAAAGATCGTTATTTATTCATTCCAGTGGATGCGCTTTACTGCACGGTTCATGTAAAATACCCTCACCAGGAACAATCCCAAATATACTTACACACAATCACTTTCTATGTTAAAACCACAAGAGGAGACCGGTTATAAGAGTCCTGATTAATGAGGCCATTCCAAGTTTTTTTTTCTTTGTTTAGCGTCCATCCTAACCTACATGTATCTTCCTATCCGAGAAAACACACAAACCAAAAGGGGGGAAAACGCAGCATTTTCAGAACAGGTCTAGAATTTATTGTTATCATTTGAGACCTCTCCTTGCCATAAAACTTAGTTAAACTACTAGTTTATTGAAATAAAAAAAAAAAAAATAATAATACACCACTTAAAAAAGAGAGATGTCAATCCCAGTAGAGTAAAATGCATTTCAGGGATTCGTATTTGTTGATTTTAATTTGAGTTAACTTTGTGTTTGCGTTTCAAAGCTTTTTATTTATCAATTTTAATTTGTGTTTGTTTTTAATTACATAACCTCAAAAACAATTCGTCCGCGTACACTGCACATAGAAAAAAAAAAACTTGGAATGGCCTTATTATAACTTACGTTTTACAGACCTTGAAAAATTTGGCTTCAAATAAAAACAGTGAATCTCCGAAGGCTTAAAAAAGAGTGTGCGATTTGTTTAGATCAATTTTTCGATGAACAAAATATTTTATATAGCCAATGCTAATAATTTAATTTTAGAGACAAACACATTACTTTGCATGTACATACTCATTATTTGATTAACAAAATCGAAAATCATATGCCTAAATCTGCTTAGTGAATTCGACAGGAAATGCACACGAACTCTCGGGAAGGGATTCAGAGGCCTGTAGTACACTCTAACGGGCATAGTTCCCTAAAACTAAAAGTTATAAAAATAAGGATATAATATTATATGTATGGTTTACATATAGAGTTTATCCGCGTCAGCTATGAAAATATGCGCTTGTAGTCTTCAAAGCAATGCAGCATGAAACGGCAGACACTTGCATTGATATCGATCAGTAAAAGATCGATAGATCGATCAAAGGTCACAGTCCAGTGGGGAGCCAAAGGAAATTGGAAAGGGGTGTATTTAGTTTTAAATCAAACTCTTGATATAATTTTTTTATTGGTACTCATTTCAGTACATTACAAAATACAAATAATTGAAATGCAGAATAACAGAACACTCACATAGAAGAATCAAAATTCACTTTTACGTCCCTTTTTATAAGTTACATAGAGATTTTATTTCTAGTTCAGTTATCAAATTATACGAAGTCTTATTGTTATTTTGTTACTTGTGGGAACAATACGCAAAACACGTCACAGTGCTTCTTTATAGTTATCCTTGCCATTCCCGGGTTATATCACTAGCTTGATTATGTTTCTTTTTCATGTAAATGTCTGATAAGAAAAAAATCTTTAAAAAATATACCTAACAAACTGCTGACATGAATTGCAAGACGATACATCACGTCATCTACTAAGACAAAAATTGCATTAAAATAGACAAAGATTTTCTTTAGAACTCCTCCCTACAGTCGTAGGTAAGATACATGTATTTGATATAATTATTTCGGTGACAATGATAATTTTATCACTTCCTTTGGATACATTAACTCTCTGGGGCATTTCCTTGTGCATTTGTCCTTGTAGTAACGATAAAATACTTTTAATTTTTTTTTCTGAAACGGATTATCAGCACAGACGGACGTTGAATCTTAAAAATTTAGCGAAAATGTGCAACGCCGTTTTCACAGAGGTGATATTGGACAGGACGCTCCTCCAGCTCCGATGAACATCTATTGGAATATTAAACATATTTCCTATGAAATATATTACTATTATTTTATGGATAATCTGGAAAAATCCTTTTAAAAATACTCGCTTACATCAAGATTAACAATAGTGTACATGTAGTCAATATGTACATTCGTTTTGTATACAGATAAATATCTATAGAGTATTTTTTTTTCTTTTTTTTCATTTCAAGACTTGGAATGCCTTAAAATATATTAGGAAAACAATCTCTGAAAAAAAAAAAAATTACGAGTTAAACCATCGATTATGGAGCGGAAAGGGGGTGTCTTGTCCATAAGTAATGCAAGATCGTGTTTGTATTTCTAACAGAACTGCATGGGAACAGGTTATCTTTATTTATAAGCAATGAAAAAGGTTGATTGTATCATGTTTCACATAAGTTTTCATAGAAAATACCTAAAGCGTACACCACTGTATACGTTTTTTAAGCCTTATAAACTTGGTCAACATAATTATCTAAAATTCCTTGTAAATTATAAATTAATTAAACCCAATTTTACTTGATAACACTGATGTCAATATTCCGATCAGCACGATAAATGTATATATAATTAATAAGTGTAAATGCATGTAAGAACTTTTCCATTCCCAGCTGCTGACCTTCAATAAGTAGATGTAGGCCTGCAGTGGCAGATTTAGAAGTACACTTCCTGATTATGCGATAAAACACTAGAATCTTTTCTGACATAATTAATTTTGTCAAATAAAAATCTGCAACAATACAGTGACAAGAATAACACGTTTTGAAAAGAAATGTTCAAATGGTGACTGTTATACAATCATGTAAGCCAAGCTTCAAATCTACCACCCCCCCCCACCCCCCCACCCCAAAAAAAGTTAGCTATTGTCTTTTGACATTCATGAATCCCAGACATATATAAATTGAAAACGAATAAAACATACTTAAAAAAGCTGATGCTTTTCAATAAAAATGTTAAAAATAATCTTTTCTTGAAGTCAAATAAAGTCAATGTCCACTATGAAAGAGACGCGCGTTTTAATTGGAGGTACATTGTACGTATGTAGGATTAAATGTAAATTGTTTGTCTGAACCATCCCAACTTATGTCGTAAAATTACTTTTTCACGCTGTAAATATTGATTGAATATTTATCATAGTTGCGAAGACTGAAGAAATTGTTTCAAGTACATATTTTCAACATGATTGCTCTTTGTGACGTCATTTTTTTTCAATGCATTGCGTCACTAATTTACATGTCATGTCCCATAGTAAATTTCACTGAAAAAGGTTCATATGGTTTTCATTTGCATGAATAATTATATTAAATTAATTTTTTTCAAATGCAAAAAATTGAATTTAAAAGACAATAAAAAAAATAATAAAGCCTTCAGATATAGAATTAAACAATTAATTTCTTTAAAAATATAGATTTTATTGTGGAGAAAAGGTGACGTCTATCCAAAAATGCAGCATTTTTTACTTCAATTTTTTGTAAAAACGGATGTGGCCGCACTTATGTAAGGTTATTTTTTCTTTTTAATATTAAAAATCGTAGTGTATTTGTTCTGTCTGCAAAGTTTCGCATACATACTTGGATGCGGCCATATCGAAATATAGACTTGAAGAGGAGAAAAACGTCCGAAATAGGGGAATTCCGGAATATTAGACCGGTTTTGAACGTTATATAAATGAAAGGGCACGTGAGTTGAGAAAAATTTATTCCTATTTCACACACAGGGAAACCTTAACAGTTAATTGATACAATTGATAGAATGTTATCGTGCGTTTAATTTTTGCCGATTTTACAGGGCCGTAAATCGGTCTTAACGTACCCAGCTCTTCTATTATGAACATAATTGGTATAAATTGGCCCAAAATATAATCACTGCAACAATCTGAGCGATGGACCAGAATAGCTACGATTTTGGAACTTGCAGTTGATCGTGCCAGGTAAAGTCATGTAAACGTTTTGCTTAAAGGGTCTGTTGTTTGAATGTTCTTTGGTCAAGATATATCTGCTTTAAATACATGTAGCTCTTTTTTAGAGTCTTCATTACAACAGAGGTGCTTTCAGAGCATTTAATCTTCAAAAGCGCTTCATTTTAGGTGTATATGATATGCGAAATAATTAAGGAAGATGAACCCATATAGAGACTCAAAAGCTTAATAGGAAGCATATCTATTAAAGCGTTTTATGGAATCCTTGTTCCGAATGAGAATGTCCACTTAAAGTCTCGCAAATTTATTTATACATGTACATTACATGACTGTGTACTAAACTTATTCAACTGTGTTTCATATTATGAGATCATAATTAATTAGAAATATTTTTTTCTTCATGCTTACTTTCACTTCTGTAGTATATTTTGACGGATTTCAAGCTATAGTAGTCTTTTAGATCCACTTGAAACCAAGCTTTTGAGGATCCTAAAGCAGTGTGTGAACATAGCTTATAGTCTGTCTGAGTTCTTATACCATCAATTGCCAGCTTTGCATCCCATGATTCATGCACTGAACTTAAAGATACTTTTGTCGTATTTCTCTTGCTTAAATTCTCTGAAAAGAAATGTATTTCATGTAATAATAATAATATTAATAAAAATAATAACAGATTTCTAAAAACAGGGAAAATTATTGCTAAAATATTCATCAGGAGACAACAAATAGAGTCAGAAGATAGATATGATTTGAAAAGGTTAAGCCAAATACTTTACTTTTGCAAAAGGTTGCAGTGAACTGTCACATATACTATCTTGGAACTTCTAAAGATCTTTTGTCTAGTGTCTAATCAGAACAAACGTAACGATCCTGTAATCTTGCAGACATTTATTACCGTTTGGTTCATTTTCTTCACTGTTTGATTTATCAGCAACTTTATATGAAATATGGAGATAACGAACAGTAATCAAGCTCAGTCCATTAAAACAATACAAATCATGAGCATAGCAAATACGGACTTCCAAAAAGATCAGAGATGGCATCAGGTGCCATGGAAGACTGGGTATCCCTTACCGACCGGTCACTCTCCATGTGCTCCTTGTCATGATAGGGAAAAAACGGAAAAAATCTGTAGACATTGCAGTGTGTAAATAATGGCCTAACAATTTGTATTAAAAATGTCAGTCAGTATTTGACTTAATGACAGGTTGTATTTGTTGACAAGGCCATTGTATCGACCATAAAATAATAATAAATTCGTATGAGACTATTGATATCCCTGTTTCATCAACTTGTTTGTCTTTAACTTGCCTCGTTTTAGAAATTGTTCATACGTAGAACGCGCCCTTGTGTATCGGACAAACGGAGAGATGAAAACCCCATATGCAGGTGATAAAGGTATATTGCTACATAAGTAAGGGAAGTTGGCGTAAAAATCGAAGTCATCACGTTTAATAAAAAAAAAAAATAATTTGTTGTAAGGTTTTTCTAATAAAAATTCAAATATGAATCATGTGTGTCAGACCCTGTGGTATCTTCCATTTCAAGCTCACTGGGGGTATATCGAGTCGATATATGAATGAAATTAACTATAAATAGTGTATTGAAAATAATTCGTCGATATATCTAAATGTCGATTGGTTGATTGCTGTTGTTTTACACCGAGTCGGCAATAATTCAGCAATATTTCGGGTGGTATCTAGTTGAAGGCCACAGCAAGTGTTTTCTTCTCAGGTAGAATTTTTGAATAAATTCTTCTTCATATGAGTACAAAAATAGGTCTGCTAATAAGTGGGCACAATTGGTACCCAGGGGAATTCCAACAGATTGTTTGAAGACCTGATCTCTAAAAACTACATAGATATTGTCAATCAGAAGCTCAAGCATCTTTTTAATATCAACTTCAAAGTACTTGTGTGTACAATCAGAATGTTTCCTAACAAAATATTTTTGCAAATGACCAATGACGCGGTAAGTATACTTACGATTTCCATTTTTATTGAAAAAGCAGCTGCCTATGATGATTAAAAAAAAACCTGAACTTCAAATTATCGTAGGGAATGGTTGTATAAAGTGTTGAAAAGTCGTACGTTTTGATGTTATTGATTTCAGTAAAATTTTGTGATTTCAAATTTTCTAAAAGTTCTTTGGAGTTTTTAAGCATCCACATCTGATTTACACCACTTCTCGAATACACTGTTGTACAGTACTCCTGAAGTTTCTCCTTCACTGCTGTAAATATCTTAGTTAGGAGTAAAGAAAGGGGCTTGGAAGAACATTTACTGGGACCACCTATTCTTCTTTATTTATAAGGATTTTTATGAAGTTTTGGAATCCAGTATAGGTATGGTATGTCAGATTTACATTGAGTGTCGGGAATATTAAAAAAAAATATTTAAAACTGACACATCGTTCTGAAGAATTGCATTCAGAGCTATTTATCTTCCTTCCACCAATAAAATACTTAAAATTCGTTTGTATGTTATGCAGAAAGTATGTGTGTTTTTTTTTTATTACATATATAATGATGTACATATATACGGCAGAAAAGGTATATGTAACTATGACATTATTTTGGAACTACCGTTTTAGTACACTTGAACTTGGAAATACTGTATCTATGTATGAAATAACCAATCCTCACGTGACATGACGGATATTGTATCCGATATATTTAATAAATGACACACCCATAACAAAAAATACTATAGTAAACTATAGTAATCTATAGTTTACTTTAGTTAACTATAGTAAATTAAAGTTCCAAAGTTTTTACCATAATAAACTAAAGTACCAAAGTTTTCACTATAGTTAATCAAAATTTCAAAGTATCGCTATACTATACCAACGTTTTCACAACAGTTTATCAACATATTGAAGTATTTAAATAATTTTTCGCTTATGTTTCCTTTTTTAAGGGGGTGGAGTTGGGGTTGGGTGGAAGATGGGGTTTTACATGTTAATTTAAATTTACAAATCACATTTATTAATTAAAAAAAAAACACATTTTTACTGAAGTTGATGGAGAATGTATTTTTGTTCTTAATGACGCGGATTTTATTTTAAAGCTTATTATTAAAAAATCCATAAAAAAAGACTTACACTGCATCTGCATTAAATTAAATACATTAAAATGTTGCTCATCTATGGCGCGACAGACAACCTTACATTAAAATTCATTTCTTACACATTCTTTAAGGGAGGGACGGGGTTCAGAAAACGTTTTCTGAAGCTTTTATGATTTTTGAACATTAAATATAATAAAATATCAAGAATTATAATCAAAAACATAATTCCATTAGTTTTTCTATAATAAATCAAAGTATCAAAGTTTTTACTATAGTAAATCAAAGTTCCAAAGATTTTACTATAGTAGTTCAAAGTTCCAAAGTTTTTACTACAGTAAATCAAAGTTCCAAAGTTTTAATTATAATAAATCAAAGTTCTTACTTTGACACTATAGTTAACTATAGTTTACTATAGTATTTTTTTGTTATGGGCCCCATAACGTAAAATACTAAGGGTATTACATGATAGTAATTTTATTACACCACCTTTATATATTTATGAACCAACGCAAATCTAACGTAACTATTCAATAGTAATTGGACATTTCAACAATATTCCTTTCATTGGTTAGAAAATGAAAGGAATTCAAATGCTTTCAATTGTTTGAAAGCATAACCATAACTGTAGAGACCATAAATTCCGACCATTACAGTTTGAAGTCAAGAATTGGACACAGAAAAAAACTTATCATTTCTATACATACCATAACTGAAGACGGGTATGTAGAAATAGCTTAAGATGCCAAGCGAAAGGTATATGACAGCCATTTCAGATATAAGGAAGTTAAATACATACAGGACGTATTTCAAATGATAATATTTCAAAACAAATAAGAGATACGCTTTAAAATTTCGCCTTGTTATCACAAGTAAAACACCGAGAAGTCGCTCGGTAGAACATCTGTGAACGGAAGATCGTAGGTCCAAACCGTGGTCGCAACTTCCCTTTTCCGATTACAATATAAGTGGCATTTGTTCCTTTGCCAAACGCTCGGCACTTTAAAGTGAATATCGCATGTCACACAGATGAGACCAGTGGCGAATGAATGTCTAAATGTGGAACCTTTCACCTGTAGTTGATATTCATATGAGTGTAAAAAATTCTCGAACTTGATTAAAACAACATATAATCAATCAATCAATTCACAAGTCCAATCGGTGATGACAAAATGTTTTGTCTCCGTCTTCTTGTCCATCACTCCTTTTCTTTGGATCAGTTGCTCCCACCTTGTCATTACTGGAAATAAAAAAAAAAAAATCGGGCTTGACAGCAATGACTAAAACTTTAATTGCATGAGCTGTATCAATATATCTAAAATAGTCATTGTAAAAACCTCTTGGCTAATTAGCAGTGCATTTCTTTCTCATTGTAATCTTTCATAAGACATATAGCGTTTAGTCCCTATAAGTAAATCTATGTATTGATTAACACGGAGTGGTGGCTTAAGTTTGTTGGAATATGATAAGATCCCCAGTTTTACCCTTTACTGTTAGATAAATATTTTCTAGTGTTTAATTGAACCTTCAAGATAACACAGCTGCAAGTTTTAAGACTTTTTTATTGTAATAAAAAAGTGTGTACATCTCTCTGCAGTAAGAAACCTTTCATTTCAGTGTAAATCAAATCTGACTTCTGACAAACAACGCATATCATAAGTGTAAAACATACCATACATGTAACAATAGACCGAAATAATATGCGGAAACATATCCAGTATATGACAGACTTACAACCATTTTGAGGAAGTAATTGAAGTATTTGAATACCAATGGTCACATACGTACAATACATTATCATTTATATTTACATCAAAAGGTGATGATTTGCTTCCTACTTAAATAATTCACATTATTAAAATACAGATTACAATACAGATATCTAGGAAGAAGGAAACACTTTTGAATCGAACATCACTGAGTGTCCTTCACCAGTAAAAATATTATATTGCAGTCTACATTTGTCAACACATTGAATGTATATATTGAAGTAATGAAATTAAAAAAAAACATTTTTGAAGTACAATAATTCATATAATTCTAGTTATTTATGATCTGGTTTGATCACTCTAACTTTTATTGTTCTACTGCGCGTACATTTTTTTTTTTTTTTTTTTTTTTTTTTTTTTTTTTTTTTTTTTTTTGCTGCGACGTTATAATTTTAATTACATGAATTTGGAAATGGAAGATTCAAACAGTTAAAACAAATTATTAGTGTGATTTTGCCTTCTGTTTGTAAACACAGAAACTACAGATAATAGCGAGCGCAGCGAGCGGCGCGAAACGCCGCTCGTCACTGCGAGCTCTAAAGACAAGGCCTGGGCGAAGAGAAAATTCGGACTATTGCACAATTCATTCAATAGAATTTTTTTCCGCAAAATTCTGGACCCACAATGCATCGCTTGTTGGTCTCGCTTCTAACTTCGTTCGCGCGGTAACAACAACTAAAAATTCACAAAAAATAAACTCACCTTAATTTAATGGATATTGGATACAGATTGTAGATTAAACATTCTTTGTTAAAATCTTCGCAGTTTTTAAACTTTGTTTATGGAAATGCAACTAACATACGACGTCATGTGACGTCACAGTCTAGACGTTCCAAATATCTCGTGCGGTTTGAAGAGGCGGATCTTAAAATGAAGTGAACAATGCGCTCGCCCCAACGAGCGCACCGTCAACATATTAAAGTGTTCCCTTTCAAATAAAATCGAAAGTAATAAGTGTTATAATAATAATATGTGTTGTAATAAGTGTTTTACTTTTAGTGCACTTTTTCATGCAGTGAAGTATTTTGGGGCTCATTATGGGCTGATCGAGGTCTGTCCATTGTCTGTCCATCCGTTCATCTGATCTAGATTTGTTAACTTTTCACATATGACTTCTTCAACAAACTTGAAGTATCATTTATAATTAAAGCAAAAAATAAATAAATGAATGAATGAATAAATAAATAGATAAATAAAGGACTATGCCAGCCCCACCCCTCATTACATGGGAAGATTATTAACAGAAAGTCAATCATAGGATCAGATCATTTCCAAATAGTTTCAAAAACTACTGGACCAACAAAGACGAAACTAAGAGGTAGCTTGATTTCAGTTTGTAGTACAATCATTTTTCATGAGAATATATAAAACTTTTGTATGGATAATTCTTAATTAAAGAACATCATATTTAGTCACAAATGTATTTATAGTCATAAAATCCATATTCCTAACTACATAGTGCTGATTCAACTCTTTTTCAAATTATAGTTATTAAGGGTATTATTCATCTTGGAATATATCATTATTTCCTGCATATGGGCTTTATATGTCCCTATTTAGTTGAAAGGTAAGGGATATTAACAGATAAGTTGATGATATAATAATATCAACAATTCCATTAAAATTCATCAATTCCCCAATTCTATTGTCAATACAATTCGTCGAAAGGTCGAACTTTCGTTAACGGATGATTTTCACAGAGCAAAGCCAGCACGGACATCTCCAAACGGAGGTGGCTTCAGGTGCCATGAAGGAGTAAGCATCCCCGGTCACACCCACTGTAACCTCTTTGTCATGATTTGGGAAAAGGAAAATCCGCATAACTTAAAAATAATTCGTATGGTTCAAATGTACTTTTTTCGATATCTTTACTTCTCTTTAAAAAATCCTGCGGGCCTCCAGATCAGGCAAGACTAACGCATTAAATATACAAATGATTTTCATCAATTACTCATGGGCTTTCCACTTGCCTAGTGATAAGACGTTCACTTCGTGATCGGGAAATATATTTTCAATTCTCGTTCGTCGCGCCTCGTCAAACTACAGACGTATAGCCATGGGTAGCGTTGGCTTCTTCAGCAAGCGCCAGGCGTTACAATGAACGCTGCACAGTTAAGGGTTCTATGAAAAAATCAACGGAATATAAGTGCATACATACATACCTTTTTAAACTGAATTTATTTCTGTAAAGCGACTATATTATCATATGACTTTAATATTAATTGAAATGACATCGCTCTGTACTGAATTTGGTTTGGTCACATTATTTGGCGGTCACGTGATAAATGTATGTAATGTGTACTGTATGTAGGTCATGAACAAATATTAATATCGCAAGGACATACTCTAGTTAAAATAAAAAAAAAAAATAAGTAATAAATTGTTTCTACATATCTTGAAGTTTATGGAAAGTGCGGCTGGTTTAAATAAAATTCGTATTTTATTAGTTTAAATTTCAATTTAATAAGCTCTACTCGAAATATGTGTGACCTTTAACAAGTATTTTATGTATTTATTAAGTTATGATCTCGATTTAAGGAAAATAGCAGCACTTTTCAAGTCAAGGAATGTTTACATTATGTATATTGAAAAAATGGTCAAGATCTATAAAGTGTATGTCCTTTGCAAAAAGGCAATTTATAAATGAAGCACCTCTGTGTGAAACATGCAAACCCTGTACAAAAACATGGTAGAATTAATTCAATAGGCCTACATTCTTCAGATATTTTTTTGATGATGACACTAAACAAAGGTTTCAGATTTATATTAATGGTCTACCTAACATTTGCAAATATTATTTTCTTTAATAATAAAATG